CCCTCGGAGTTGGTATGCCCCCCCCCCCCCCCCCCCCCGGCACAAGTTGAAACTTTGAAAGAAAAGATCGAGGGTCGCGGTTACCCCTCGGGATCGACACAGCTGCAGGAAGCCAGTTATGTAGGAATGGCTGTTTGGGGTTAGCTGGCAGGGGGCTAAACCCACGTACCTCAGGTATTCGAGGAGAAAAGGATGCAGCGGGAACCGGAGGCCCATGGCAACCGATAGCACATGGACCGCAAAGCAACCCTCCGGAGCTTGCAACAGGAGATCATTGGGTCCCGGTTCAATCACGGTAGCCAAAGGCCCCACATGCAGCTGGGTAACGTAGCATTCGGCTCGATCGGCCCTCGACTTCAGTGCAAGGGCAGCGGTGTTCAGCCATGAATGCCCCTCGGATATCCCCACGGGTTTCCCGCAATCCACGGCGGTTTGCTTGCCTTTTTTGGGAGCCTTCGTCTTCTTCCTCTTCTTTCCCACGGCAACGCTGAGGGGTTCCGGATCTAGGGGCCGGGAGGTACTCGCCTCCCCGGAACCATGAAGGGGCAAGACAGCAACCGTCACCTCCTGTCGCTCCCTCTCTTCTTCTTCCTCAGCTACTTGGAGCGCGAGGGCCATTTCTTCATCAGCGGCGACTTGTTCAAATTCTTCAGCCTCCAGCTCAACTCGAAGGTTGCTTTGTACCTCCTCAGCCACGGCGAGGTCATTGTTGGTCGAAGACTGCCCGCTCGATGACTCTGCATCAGAGAAGCTCTCTGCTGCAACCGAAGGCTCCCTCGAGTGGTTCTGGGAATCGCTTGCTGATGACATCCTTCGAGATCGAGAGAACAGAAGTATGGAGGAAAAAGGAAAGAAGGAGACTAGGGGCTTCCTAGGGAGGCTCTAAACACTCGATCTAAGAATAATAAGGCAAAATATGCTGGAAGAGCCGGAAAACGGTGAAGAACTGACCTCGAAAACTTGGGGTTTGATCAAGCAAAACTTTCTCTCTCTAGAAAAATTTTGCCAGAGCTTCGCTTCACAACAAAACGCACAAACCAAAGGAGTTCGGATTTGGGGTATATATAGGCTTTCAGCCTCGAGAATTGGGCCTCGATTTAAAAAGGCCATCATTGCGGGCCGCCGGTTCACCCAATGGGTGGCACCCGCCCCCCATCATCCAACAACCAAGCAACACGTGGAAGCCTCTTCCAACGGCTATATTACAACGACTATATTTCGGCAACACTGGGGTGCCCTCGAATGATAGCCTCCGGCTATCACTCACCACAGCCTTCTGCCAACGAAATTCACCAAGCTTTCGGCTCATCAATGCTACCACCCCTCGAGAGCTCATCAACACCTTATAACTCCTTCAGCCCGAACTTGCCTTCGGCCTAAAGGAGTGGGGGACTAGGATACACCCCTCGGGCGTCACAACAGAACAAAATACAAATATTTCCTCAAACGGAAATCTACAAGTGACGCATATAGCCTCCGGGCGAACATCAGAATAAAATCCCTCGGGTACATACTTCAATATACCCTTCGGCAGAGGCGCTCACAAGTTTCCCCCAGGTCTCTTGCGAAAATGAAGCAGCCCTCATCACAACACGTGCAGGCAATACACATGTGCCTTCCTCAGAAAACCCTCGACATGTGAGGGACTGAGGAAAGCCTTCGGCAATCAGCAGAAGACAAGTGCTCCAACAAAGGCACCCAACGAAATGATGAGGCCTCCAGAAGAATCAACACAACTACTCCTTTTCCCTCAAGTACCTTTCGGCAAAAGGAGTGAGGGACTCCTGATGGAGTATATGGCCCGGGGACCCCCGACCCAAAGACTCCTACTTCTCCTACACAAGTCCATTGAGCCCAGAGAACAACTCGGGCCCAAATGCAACGGCCCAAGCCTCAAAACAGCCCAGAATACACACTGGGGTGCCTTCGGCTTCCTTGGCCGAAGGCTCCAAAACTCACAGGATGGCCTTCTCTGGCATGAGAAGTTACTGGGAGAAAGCGGCAAAAAACGTGAGCCTTCGGCATTATCAAGCCCCCGGCATCAGAAAAGCCTTCGGCTGAACAAAGCCTTCGGTCACACGAGGCCTTCGGCTACACTGGGGTCCTCAGTCACACGGAGCCCTCGGCTACACAAGGAGCCTTCGGCCATACATGTTCAATCATCGAAGATTCCTTTTGGAGACAGCCAACCACCGCATTTAATACCACGTCACATCCACCAACCGCATTCAATGCGGTGAACGTACCACTGCCGGTGCCACCCGCGTGATGTGACCCTTCGGCCGTTGGATTACTGACACGTGTACTCTCATCGCATTTATTGCTGCTATAAATAGCAGCCCTTATTCACCTTGTAAAGACACGCTGAGTTCATTTAATAAAATCGACTCTCTCTCCTCCTATTTACTCTGGCTTCTCTCTAGTTATTCCCGCAATAACCCCTCGGATAAGATACCCCCGGGTAGACTATCCATCAGACCTTTGTAGCCTCACACGAATTATTACATTTATTTAGAAGATGTTAAAATCCAAGGGTTCCCATTCATTCCTTCTTTCCAGATTTAATTTCTATCCCCCACCTTTTTCTTCCATGCTCTGGTTTTTCTATTTTGATTTTTCATTCTATTTCACTCATTCATGCTTAATTAACTCACACTTCATTTACAAAATTTACATATACTTGAAGTAGAGAGTAGTTGATCCATTTTAATAATGTATGAATCGGTGAGTTTTTCTTTTGCACTAGAACTATTTGATGAAATGTCTTTATGCAAATTGTCCTTGTTTTGCATTTTTTAGTTGAGAAGAGTTTTGGGGCAAATTACTTAAATTGCATGAACAGGTGGGCTGATTATGTATGTGCTCAATGGACATTGTTATATAATGACATTGTATATTACATTGTCATATAATGACATTGTAATATATGATAGTATTTTCTACCTTTTAATTATGACAATGTATAGTAATTATGCTAATATTGTCATTATTTTTAATTAATGACACTTAATGTTGCTTTTAATTGTGTGACTCTTTTATACTATTAGTATTATTTTTAAATAATGAAATTATAATATGTTATCATATAATGACATTTTATATTACATTGTTATATAATGACATTGTAAATTACATTGTATATTATTACATTGTCATATAATAACATTGTAATTACATTATTATAGAATGACATTGTAAATATAATGCATTTTAGGTGAAGATATTGTAATTTTTATAGCAATAACTTATTAACAATCAGGGCCGTCTTTAGAAGTTTTGGTGCCCCAGACGAAATCTTTTTTACAAAGAAAAGAAAACAGATTTATTTTCTCGTACCTATTAATAGAATCCGTAAAAGATTACATAAGTTCGTTTTTTTAGTTTTCTTGTGGAAACCATTTGCGATGATGACTTCAGACAAATCACGAGAACTTGTTAATTAATGTAATTGTCTCCTAGGTTGTTTCCTTTATTAATAAATAATAAAAGTTGTTTTTTATTTTTATGCCAGGAACCTATTCATTTTTTGTTAACGGCTGACCAAGTATAATATATGTGTGTGTGAGAGAAAAAAATAAAAAATATATATGAGAAATCTTCCGACCCAGATGGACTGACCGGAACCGCCGTCCGGTCGCCTCCATTTGAGCTTCTTTCGGGTTGCATATTTTGATAAACTTTGTGGGTATGTTTTTCATGAAGTTTAGATTATATCCATGAAAATTTACCTTAAAGTTCAATCGGAAAGTCAGTTAAATACGTAGTAAATTATTAAATAAAATTGTGCCAAAAAATGTACATAAAACACAATGTTTTTCAATAATTTATTTCACTGACTTCCCAATTGAATTTTAAGATAAAGTTTTATGAGCATAATATTAACTTCATGAGGAACATGCTAACAAAATTTCATCCAAAAAAATCCACCCAAAAGCATATCAAACGGAGGCGATCGTACAATTGTTCCGATCAACCATATTACTCCCTGCGTCCCAGTTTGTTTTGCAAAGTCAATTTTTTTGGTTGACCAATAATAAAAGTCAATCTTTCCTATGGATAATTAACTCAATTTTTAATAATTAAAATTTACATATTCATAAACTACATTAAAATCTCTTCAAAGTTGTAAAGTCCAAATTAGAATATAATTAAAAATTGACATTCTAATTAAGTGAAAAAAACGAAACTGTTTGACCAAGAAAAAGTCAAATTTGCAATCAATTTGGGATGAAGTTAATATATTTGAAGCTTTATTAAAAAATGGTGCCCCATCTAAAATTGGTGCCCTAGGCAAGTGCCTAGATGCCTTGGCCCTATGGACGGCTCTGTTAACAATGTTATCTTTTATAGCATAGGCGTTGTTACGACAGTCATTGATATCAGCATTGACAATGTCATTAAAATGACATTGGTATTTTTATTGTCATTATTTGACTTTGTAATTTTTACAATGACATGACAATGTTACAATATCTCAATATCATCAATGAAAATATGTCACTTCTTCACAATATCACTATATCAATATCCCAATGTCACATTTTTGCCAATTGCTATTGCTTCACCATTTTGGTAGTGTTTATAGTTCCTATTTTTTTAAAGAAATCTGCGTCCTCAATAATAGGAAAAAAAACAAGTCATCAATGGTATTAATATCTATATGAATATAATGGAGTTCCATAATCCTCCATTGACAATTTGACACACATACTCCGTTGACCTCCATGAAAATTCTCTTTTTATTAATTGAAAAATGAACAATTTGAACAAAACAAAGAGTCTCACAACTGCAAATCAGCAAACACTTTAAGCACATGTGAAAAGTCCTAAACAATACAGCAAACTGAAAAATTAACCCAATTTGAAAAAGGAAATTAGATAAAACAAAAAGGAGAAGAAGACGAAACTTTCGAAGAAGAAAATAAGAAATTAAAAGTAATACCACAACAACAAAAAATATAGACAGCAGGACATAATAGAAACTGTAAAAAAATTGAAAAATAAACTAATACAAACGTACATAGCAGAGCCGTGACATTAGAGAAACTGTAAAAGGGGGAAGAGGTGGGTGGAGACTCAAGCCGGGCAACTGGGAAAGAAGAAAAAATGAAGAAAAAGGAGAAGATCCGAAGAAAAAGGAGAAGAAGGAAGAAAAAGAGGAGAAAGAAGGAGGAAAAGGAAGAAAAAGGAGAAGAAGGAGGAAGAAGACCCAACAACTTCTCCGGCGAGGCGGCGACGAACATCGGTCCGGCGGTGACCAACGATCCGGCGAGTCGGTAAGGAGAAGCAGTCCAGCGATGAGTCGGCAGCTGTTGCATCGCATCTCGGAACAACTACTCTGGCCGACTGGCCGGCTTATTCTGCACATGGTGCGCTCCCACTTTGGCGGAGACGAGTGAAATGATGTGCACTTTTGACCCAGGGGTATTCTCGACCTTCCCATCCAAAATTAGTGCTATTTAGTAGTTAAAAACTTCCAACTCCTATTTAGGTTCCCTTCCATTGTTTTAGTCCTATTTGAGTCTTATTCCCAATGGGAAAGTTCCTGAAATGGGACCAAAAACGTTTGTAAATTCCAAAATAGGACTGTCATGTTTTTATTCCCAAAATAGGAGTAATTATTGTCAAGTTTGGAAAATAATGCCATGTTTAAAGTCTGGTACTGCCAAAACATGACAGTAATTAGTTCCGTTTTGGGAATTAAAAACATGGCAGTCCCATTTTGGAATTTACAAACGTTTTTAGTCCTATTTTGGGTAAATTCTCATTTAAATACTCCTATTTGTTACCTTTTGATTATTGATCACCGAACAATTGAAATGGAAGGCAACGTGTAATCTATCTATAGATAATACATTTCAAGGTTACAATTAGGGAAAGTATTGCCACGTGTCAACTCCACAATTATTAAGATCACTTTTTAAATTAAAGAATTTATTTATACACAAGTAATACGGAGAATTAGTTGATAACCGTCCTCTTAATTGCTAAAATATAGGAATTCAATTGCCAAAATATAGGAATCCAATTGATAAAAGGAAATTTCTACCGTGCCTCTCATAATTTTTAGGGCACGGACGTACGGTACATTGATCTCACTGGATCAATAAGAGTGCTTCACGTGGAAATTTTAAACACTACGCAATAAATATAATTACAAAACGTTGAATTTAAGATTTAATTTATTTGCACTGAAGTCCTGATTACAAATTACCCCTCATTTTTTGATGGTGAAACATTGGTCTGCAACTTCGATTTTCATGAATCATCTCAATTTTTTCAATTTTCACAATTTCTCTATTCATATTCCCGATTTCAATTATATCTGAATTTGGTTTTTGGATTGTGTTTCGAAGCTCTGTGAATGAGTCTATGACTCTGGTCATTCCTTTGAATGAATAGTGCAGATATTGGTAAATTACTCAAGTTTTTATTAAGTAAAGACCAAATCGAATTTGGTCTATTTCGAATTTGGTTTTGCTTCAGTTATGGGTTGTTTTAATTTGTTGATCAACTTGATTGATCCAGTAAAAACCAATGATAAAGATATAATTTGCAGAAGTATAAGAATTTGGCGAACGTAAATCGCTGGTTGAAAGAGAAAAAAATTCAAACAATGAAACAATGGTTGAATCAGATATTCCGTACAATCTACGAAGGATATATTGCTAAGTTCATCTGCGAAAACGCTTAGCCTACACCTCCATGGAGTGCCGCTTGGTAAGAAAAATAGTTATATTTTCTTCTTCTAGAAAACATGGCCGGTGCACTGACAAAAAACAGAGACTTTAGATAAAGGACTCAAATGCAATTAAAAGCAACTGTCATATTTTTGATGTGTTGTATTTTTATTACGAAAAATATAATAAATGTATAATGAGATATGGACGCGTGTGGCATTTTAATTGAGCCACTTAGGCTAACCACAACCCAACCTGTCAATAAATCTAATTTTCTACCAATTTATACGTATTCACTCAATCAATTCAGTTTTTTCCCGCAACCCAACACCGTCAATATATTCACTCAACCCATATTTTTTTTATAACTAAATGCATAAATCCTTAAAAAAATTATTGCACAATAGTTATGCTACAATTTTATTTTATCGATAATTGTGATTTAAAAAGTTAAACATTCAGATGTAAAAATATATAAATTTAGAGTTTAATTTTTTTGAGACCGGTTTTTAAAAAATAAAATAAAAAATAGATGTAAAATAGTATTTGAACTATGAGAACTTAATTTTAGCACTTAGATTTGTTCAAGAAAAAAATTGGGTTTGAGAATCTCGAGCAGTTGAAATTTCAATTTTTCTTTTTTTTTTTAAATTTATATATGTGATATTGATGTCGAATGAAAGAGAACAAAAAGTTATGAATTTTGATATATTTTTACTAAAAATTGAATTTCTCATATAAAAGTTATGGCACTTTAAAGATTAATGAGATTTTTATTTAAGTTGGGTCCCAAGAAATTCTTCCATTCACGCATCACCTTTCCTGTGCATCGGTCCTCATTTCCGTCTCTTTCTTCTGTCAATAGGGTATCACCTATTTCTCCCATGAGTTTTCCTAATTGACTTTGAGACCTTGGAATACATATTTTAAGTTGGGTTGTAGCCATTTTGGGGTGAAATTTGGGGTTTTCACCCCTCCCGGCCCATTGCAGTCAGACTTAGGCAAAGGTACGGTACCTCCGTTATTTGGAAGTGTACCGTACACTTCCAACTAACGGATGTACCGTAGAAAGACCCTTGATAAAATCTCATGTTTTTCTTGAAGTGTTATAACTTTTTTATTTGAACTCCGATCAGGGCCGGCCCGGACACATTAGAGGCCCTGTTCAAAGTTAAGTAAGAGAGGCCTTATTTTCCTAACATCCCTCCAAAGCCGTTAGCTGATACAACTTGAATCAATGAAAACATCTTCATCTTCAGCCATATATTTTATAATTGAGAAATTATTATAATTTGAAACAAAGCGAAATTAATCTTTGTCTTTGTAGTTTTAGATTTTTAGTGGTCTTTGTAACATGAGTTATTCCACGAATACGGCTATTAAAAATTAGTAAGCTACATCATTAAAATTAAATAGATGAATCCATGTTGAGATTGAAAAAAAAAACAGTAAACCATATCGAAGGTGCACAGATGATCCATATACTTTATACCCCTCCATCTCTAATTTTTCTCCCATTTCGGCTGGGCACATTTATTAAGATAGTGGAATTTGTGTGGTGGAGAGTTGGGCAGAGAAATATATAAGAATGTGTAAGAATGGTTGTCAATCACAAATTTTTTACCAAAGGGGGAAAGAAGAGATATTTTTGGGATAGACGAAAAAGAAAAGTTTGAAGATAATTCAGGGACGGAGGGAGTACTACGTAGTATCGTACTCCCTCCGCCCCGCTATGATTGTCCCATTTTACCATTTTGGTTCGTCCCACTAAGATTGTCTCATACCTTATTTGGTAAAGTTTGTGTGGTTCTAAATCATTCCTACTTTATTCTTACTTTATCAATTCAATATGAACTACATAAACTCACTTTTATTAATAACCGTGCCACATTCTCTTGTCCCAAATTTAGGGGCAGAGGTAGTATTATATTATTGAAAAAAGTGAAAATAGCAGAAAAACAGTTGACCCGTATTTAGAGTTCTTTGACACCATTCATTTATGTGCCTAAAATCTAAATTTCTCAATTTCACTCCTTAGAAACTGCAGTTGAAGGTGGAGATTTCAGTGGCATGGGAGGGTGCACCCAAACATTATTGTCATTTGCCAATTTTATTTTAAAAAAAACGGGATGAGCAAAGAACTGAAATCAAATCAACTAACAAAAACAAAATACCCCCAAACTAAAGAAATGGCAGAGGGCGTAGATTGCAAACTTGCGAAGGACTGGAGCCTCTCCCTTTGTCCCGTGATTCAGCAGCTCCCTTGTTCTACTGGAAGTAAGAGATTTCGTGGAAGTGATTCGAACAAGCTACAGATATGGGATCCAGCAGTTCTTTTAACTTACTCTGTACCAATCTTGTAGTTGATGTTCCTTCTTCCAAAGACTCACGTTTGTCCGCTATCGATGTATCGTTCTACCGAAGAGTTTCATTGTCTCTCGATTATCGAAATCTTCGTGTAATTAATTACTCCGAATTGAAAATCGGGGGCCTTCTTTCAGCGGAGGCCCGGTGCGCCGGCACCGCTTGCACCCCTTTTGGGCTGGGCCTGACTCCGATTGTTACAAAAAACATATCAAAATTCATAAATTTTTATTATCTTTCATATGACACCAATATCGAATATATAAAGATAAAAAATATTTTAACACTTTAAAAACCATCTAATTTCAAAGCGCTATTATTATTTATTGGTACTCCGATTGTTACAAAAATATTAAATATGGAGTACTAAAAGAGAAGCTATGAACAAAAATACTTGGTATTTAATTTGCATGAAAGATTTTATCGAGTTCTGAAATACGATCAAATAAAGATATAAAAAGACTTCAAATCAAGTTTATTTTTCTCATTTGTTATTCTCATAAGTCGAATTATAGAGGTCGAATTGTAAAGTCGAATTATATTCAAATCAAGTTTATTTTTCAAATCGAGTTATTCTCACCTTAATAGACATAATAAAGTCGAATTGTAATGATCAGTAACATGAAAATAATCAAAATAAGATTGAAGTTATTTTCCTGATTGAATTGGTTGAGGTTACTATAAAGGTCCATTTTACCTATTTTTCATACATTTTTAAATTTTCATTAAACTATTAATAAAATATAAAATTCATAACCTTTTATTATCTTTCATATGCCATGAATGTTGCATATATAAAAATAAATATATTAGTTCTATTAATTTGTGCAGTTTAGAATCATTTTTTTTACCATGTACACTACTAATCGAGGGGGGAAATAATTTAAATATTCCAAACTTTCAAGTAGTGTGAGTTGCATATGTAATATAAATGTTATTTATAGATATACCATCATCTTCACATAAAAAGTTATGTTGACACCATGATCATATATTTCTTTCACATATGTATCTTTATGGTGTTAAGCACTTTTGAGGAGGCAATTAAAATTATATTGTACCGTGCACGGGATAAAAGATACTTTTATTTTTTAAATTTAATATATTACGTAAAAGGTTAAAAAACCTCTGCTTTTTTGTGCTCCGGTTGTTACTAAAAATATATCATAAATCATAACTTTTTATTATCTTTCATATGATACCAATATTGAATATATAAAGATTAAATAATGTCTTAACACTTTAAAGTAAAACTATTTTAACACTTTAAAAAACCTCTATTTTTTAAAGTGCTATAATTTTTTTGATAAAAGAATCAAAATCATATGATTCACTGAAACCTTAAATACTAAAAACACTAAGAGCCCGTTTGATAACATTGAAATTGGTTGAATCATCTGATTCTGCTGAACTTTATGAGGTTCTGACTGAAGTGGTTGGATTGGTTGATTTTACTGATTGGGGGGGGGATTTAAAATAGTTTTTATTAATAAAATAAAGAAAAATTGTATGAAAAATAGCTAAAATGATCTTCTACAGTAAATCATTGTTTGTTTTCAAACCTAAGCACATACTTTTATAATTTATTTATCTAAAATGGGTGAAGTCAATTTTTTGAAGATATTAGTCCTTATTTTCTTAAAAAATAATTCAAGTATATTTTGACAAATATTTTTTTTTAAAAATAATTATTTTTAAGTCTTTTTTATACTCCGTATAAACCATGTAGAATAATTCAGTCACACTGAAATAGATGATCAATAAACTTGATTAACAATAGTACAATCACATATAAGCTTTATTGTTAGTTGTATACTTAATTCCGAAATATGAATGTTGGTTTTGATAAGTAAAAGTCGTACGTCCTACAA